CGGGCCGCTCCCTGCCGGGGGTCGCCTTGTGTGGCTGAGGTGAGGCCGGTGCTTGTGCCCGGGCCTGGGCGTGGCTGCCAGAGGCGGTGGCGGTCTCGCCGTGCTCTTTGCGGGGAGTCGGGAGCGTCGTCTCGTAGCTCTGCGTGCGGAGGAAGGGCCCCCTCCGGCAGGGAAGGGGTCAGTCACGTGGAAAAAACCCACGTTCCCCTCCCGCCAAAGCGTGACAAGTAGAGCTGTGAATGTGGGCTGGCGTATCAGAAATTCTGGTTTTACGTTTTGGCAGTGACAAGAGAGACTGCTGCAAAATGAGATGGGACCCACAAAAGCTGGTCTTACTGGCCACCGATGTCCGGTGTGTGTAGCAACTGGGGTGTAAACCTTGTGAAAGAACATTTATGTCAATGAGTGCAGGCAGAGGAGACTCATTTTCTTAAAAGGGGAAGCAGGAGAGGGACAAGGCATGTTATCTCCGATGAAGCTTTCGTAACTGTCTTGGGTCCTATTAGCTCAGACTGAGATTACTTTCTTTGCAGTCTGTTTGCAGTTGTCTAAGTAGAAATTCTTCTAAAAATCTCAACTTTCTCTTTTTGCTATACTGTCTCAGTAGCCTGGGTATTCGGTAAAGCTCTTTGTGTAGTAGTGCAACTAAAAGAGGGAAACCTTGCAGTCTATGCTGAATGGACAAAGTTGAGCTGAGATTTTAGTACACGGCCTGCTACGTAGAGTAGGTGTTGTAACAGTAGCATGTGTGAGTGATGCTGGAAGGAGCAAGAACTTCATTTCCATGTTCTTGAGGTCTTGATCTACCATATTATTATGCATATAAAACAACCAGCAAGATTTTCACAATGCTGCTTGGTGTTTTTACTATTTGTTGGAAATACTTAACAGGGAATGAACCTGTGACGTTCAGAATTAATAGCCAGCTAAAAGCTGATCAAAAATGTCTTCTACTAGGAAAACTCCTTTCCTGTGGAGATGCCTGTATTTGCACATATACAATGTCATTAGCCACCTAAAATTAAAATGGAAAACTGTTAAAATAATTTTTAAGTGCAGCAACTATGGAGCTTTGTCACTAATATATGTTTTTATATTATATTAGTCAAAACTTAATGCAGTTGTACTCAAACTTCATATAAAACCTTATTTGAAAGTTTTCCTGTTTACGGTTTTTAGAGGAATGCACTCAATAGAAGATTAAGATCTTATTTACAAATCAATAGACAATAAACCATAACTAGCAGTCTGCTTTTGCAGTGTAAGCAAGAATTTTAAGCTCATTTTAAAATGCAGCCCTAGCTACATGTTTGCTACCCGATATTTTTCTGATCTCGAGGCTCTTATGTTTTACTTTTGTAGGCAGTCTCATGAGAATACTTGTGTTCAGTTCAGCACGTCTGTGTTTTCTCTCTGTCCTTTATGGTTTTTGTCTTTGTGTTCTTCAACACTTATATCTGTGGAGTGTAAGATAAAGGGAATGATCAAGCCCCACTTCTTTTCTTATCAAGATTTTTTTTTTCCCCCCCTCTCTGTTTTTTTTCCTTTTCTGTTCTTTTGCAGAATTGTTAGTACCTGTGACATGGTACGCCAAACTCAAGTGTGAAAGCACAAGGGAAGGTTTCATATGGCAAGCACTTCTGTGCTGAAGCATTAAATTATTCTGAAGCTACTCCTGCTGGTACTGGATCTGCACATCACTGTTCACACAGTGAGGGAATTAGTAGTCAAGCAGCATGGTGGGAGTGCTTAGTAACAGCAGAAAAGCAGGAGTCTGTGGCAGAACTGCCCTTTGTTGAAAATTGTGGAAAGTTCTCTAGGTAAGTAATGGTGTAAAACTGGTGGTGATTTAGCCATTCTTGAATTTTACTGGGTTTGGCACACATGTAGCTTTAAAAGGTATTAATCAGCTATACTTCACAATAACTCTTTTTCTTCTTCATCCTTGTAGCATTTCTATTCAGTGATTAAATTCAAGACATGGGGCCAATGAAATATAAGTCAGGTGTGTCCTCAGTGTCCTGTGGTCTGCAATATCACCATTCATTGGTAAAGTGGAGTCCAAAAATGAATTTACACATAGTGCGGACTTACTGCTCATCAGGACCTAAGAGGCCAGAAGCCAAGTCTGCGACAGAAGTGGCCATGGGTCTTCTTAATCGGCTGACAGAAGCTGGGACCGTTATGGGAAAAAACTCTCTTCAAAAAATGTCTGCAACATGCAAGAGTTGGTGGGACAGATATGAAGAGTTTGTTGGAATTAATGAAGTTCGAGAGGCGCAGGGAAAAGTGACAGAGGTAAATATGGAGATAATGTGGAAATTTAAAAATTATGAGTTAAGCTATATGAAGTATAAACACTGGCTGTGAGGCAAAAAAAAAATCCTCCAAGGAGAATCGTGTCTTTTTTTTCTGCTTTTTCTGTCTGTGCAGATATCATGAACGTGTTCTAGTCTATGCATGTTAGTAAATATAGCTTATCCCTTAGACTGAAATCGAGCGTGGGTTTTTTTCTTGTGGTTCCCCCCCCCTCCAAAATTCATGTAATTAGAGATTTAGATCTGTCTGGTAACAAGTCAGTAAAATAAATATTCTTTCTTCTCAGGCTGAAAATGTCTTTATGATAGCTCGAGGGATAGTACGAGAGGCTCGTGAAAACGTAGAAGCCCAACAGATTAAACTGAAGGAAATCCGAGACCGCTTAGACAGGGTCTCTCGGGATGACACCCAGTATTTAGAGCTGGCTACTCTGGAACACAGGTTGCTGCAGGTAATTTGTTGGTACTCGAGCACTGGCAAATATGTTGAAAACTTGTGTGCTTGGCTTTTGTCACTAGTGACTGTTTTGGCAGGTGCAGTTCACTTCTGAAGTACAGTGATCCGAGTCAATTTCTGATTATTCTTGTTTTAATTAATTATTTTGGCTTATTTGATCTGCGATGAAAATTGTATGTATTAATGATAAAAGGAAGATAATGAGCTTAGAAAACTAGTTGTTGTAGAGGTGACCTTTTTATTAGTAGTCATCAAAAAACTGGGATTCAATGAATTTTAACCTTCCATGCGATGAGGGAAGCTCCTTTCTGGTTGTTAACCCATGAAACTCTCTCAGCTGCCTTCTACGTGACTGCAACACCCAGGCAATTCAGTAAAGCTTTTGTCAGAGAGCAGCAAGAGCAAGGCTGCTCCGTGAGGGAGGGTAAGCAAGAAGATGAGGTTGACTGCAGCACAGGCAGGGGCAGTATCCTCACCAACAGGTCCTGCAGGACCTCAGCTGGATGAGCCAAGCAGGGCTGGTGGCAGAAACATGGTTATTAACAGTCCATCAGAGATAAAAACAAGGTAGCAGCTGAAGTCAATCTGGGAAATCCAGACGAAACTGCAGGGAGGGCAGGGAACAGGCCTGGAAGCAGGTACACCTATGGCAAAGCTCAGGCAGAGAGTGGGTGCCAATGCCTGAGCTTAAACTGAGCTCCTGGATCAGTGGGCAGAACATCAGGGAAGAACTAGAGATCCATAGCTGTCTAAGGGATCAGGTCTGTGTGGATGAGATGTCAAAAAGAATAGAGCTCTGTGTGACTGAAGAAAGGTAAAAACTCAAGTCGCTGCTGCCCATAAGGTGGTGGTGCCACCTTACAGAAGTATGTGCTCAGAAGAATGAGAATAATTCTGGGAGATGCAGTTAGCTGACAGACAAGCTCACCACTACCGGTAGCAGTGATTCCTTTGGTAAAACAGCAGAACTTTACTGTGGGAAGATAACCAGAAAACCTTTCACTATTTTGCTGAGATAAAATAGCTTACAAAGGGAACTGCCAAGCTGAAGCCAGGGAGAAGGGGAAGACACTTGTCAGTGAGTAGAGTAAGTAAGAGAAGGCAGAAGGATAAGAAGTGTTATATGTTCGTGAGAGGAGTCTGTCCAAGACATCCTTTCCAGTCCTATTTTCAGTTCCTATTTTTAAGGGGTTTAGGTTGAATCAAGGGAGAAGTGTGGTAAAAGTAGTCTCAAGTCTGGAGAAGTAAGCAGGGCTGAAAAAGTGAATGTTATGGGGAGAGAAAGACCTTGGCCACTCATACCCATTTTCTGTCATCAGCATGTGACAGATTCTGGTGTAGAGGAT